CCTAAACCCTAAACCCTAAGCGGATCAGGCATGCTGCGCTTACGGCGGCCCTGTACAGGCGGCCAACGCGAAGACCTTGCTGCAAGGCGCAGAGGCCAAAAAAGAGGGGACGTTGGGACGTCGATGATCTACCCCTACCCCCGCTCTATAAACAAGCACCACGCCGACTCTTACAAGAGCCAATGTAAGTAGTTGTGATAAGACTACGGGCCTGCTCTTGCTGGATGCTGATGAGGCATGCTGCTACAGCGGCTTGGATGGGAGGTGAAGGAGGCGGTGCCTTCAGCGCCGCCGGCACGGGCGGCTTGGAGCAGTGAGCACAGTTCCTTTTTCAGGCGGTGCTCTGGCCTCTGTGTGCTCTGCGGTATGGCGCCATGCCAGCTTCAGACTGAGGACAACCACGCGGCCTTTGCTACCTCTTTCGGAATCCTGATTTTCGGAGGCGGCAAAAAGGCACGACGGAGGGGGCAAGGGCTAATGCGCTCGCTCAGGGAAGCAGCTGGGCCAGCGGCGCTTCTTGAACGACCTCTGGGTTCTGGACACCGGGGGGCGTTTTGCAGCTTAGATCATCTTAGCGCAGCCGCGCGCGCGCGCGCGCCCGCGCGCCCTCCTTGCAGGACGTCGCCACGGGCCGCTGGGCCGAGGCGGCCGCCCGAGGCGGCGCGCGCGGCGGCGAGGGCCCTGCGCCCAGGCTGGGCAAGTTGGCCCCCTTTTTGTTGCGGGCCTCTGTCTGCTCTCCTCCAAATTATCTCTTCTCTGCCTTTCTCTGTGGGAGGGCCTTCAATGCGGATGGCGGGGCGGGTCCGGGCGGTGTTCTCCGAGACCGTCTCGGCCGCGAGTGGCTGGTGGTCTTCGGCGGGCTCCGAGGACGCGGCTTTTTTATGCCCTCCCAAAAGCCACTATGTGCAGTTCTGCGGAGACTGAGATCTTGCCTGTCAGGCGAGGGTTTCCGGGACAACGAAACCTGGGCACTGGGTCCCTTGGTGGGCGGCCTGGAGGAGGGGATAGGACGCTGCAGACCCAGGGAAAGGGCGAAGCTTCCAGAGACTTGCAGAGGCAGCTGCCAGCTGGCAGTGGCGGGAGCTGCAAGGAGGCCGTTCTAGGGCCTCTGGGGCTGATCTTCGCGAGCTTTGCGCTTTGCTCCGCTTCGGCGTTTTGGGGGCAGGTTCCGGGGCTCAAAGCCGAGAGAGGCGCCCGGGGCGATTGCGTGTCACTGCGCATCGGCCGTCGCCCATGCGTCGCCCCGTCGCAGGCCCACGCCGAGGTTCCATCACACGCAGACCGTGCTGAGGCGCCGCGGTGGCCGGACAGGAACACGGAAAGGGAGTGTGAAAGAGAGGAAAGCCTCTCAGAGTTCGGAGTCTGGAGGGATGGAAGGGTCATCGTCAGCACGCAACTTCCATCATCAGCCTTTCAGAAGAGCTTTTGCAAGGCCGTCGACCTTGGCAGTGGTGGGCGGTCACAACTTCATGGTCAGGCCGGGCGGCCCAGCCTGGCGAGGCTGGGCCAGAGTTCCGCGTGTGCTGAGACAGGCCGATCTTGGGCTCTGCCCTTCTCAGTTTCGACGTCGAAGTCGAAGGAGAGGGATTGGGGGCTAGGCTGCTGCTGCGACATGAGATGACATGTCGTCCATCCTTGGCCATCGACTTTCCCTGAAGGACTGGAGGATGTGCGCTGGCGGCACCTCGATGAGGCTGAAGGTCGGTGGGAAACCACTGCAATGTGAGACAGGATGCGCGATTGCCAGAATCCTGAGTGTAGGCAGTGGGATGCAGCCCAGCAGAGGAAACCTAACGGAATCTGACCATTCGCAACGAAACATGACTGAACAACGCTTATTGGGCAAGTGTTTGGGTAGTGAAGAGAATGGAAGAGTTCGCCTGGGCTGCATTTGTATCAGAATCGAGCACACGCGTAATCCATTGGAGCATATCCCTGATGCGGCGAAGTTTGCTCTTGCTACATTCGAGATTTTGCAATCAGAGAGGGAGAGTGGCATGGTGTCAGTCAGGAAAGATTCGACGATGAGCGTAGCGACACGAAGCGTGCGGACAGCACAGCAAAATGACCATGACAGTCTACAGCGAATTGCAAGGCAACGTGATCGAGAAGATCGGGACAGCATTGCATGTATCCTCACAGAAACGTATACCACCAAGTATTTTCGTTTCCGGTAGAGCATGATGGGGGCGGGTTGTGCAAAGGTGACAAATACAGAACTGGACGTCATCTGGTGGAACGCAGAGAATGTGATGGAATTCAAGAGCGCTTGCCTTCGCGGTCGAAAATGCTTTTCTGCTTGGAAGGGGCCCCCGAACCGCGGGCCTACCACGCAGCAGCAGAGTGGCGGCAGCAGCTGGTGCTCTTTGGCGGCGAGGCCAAGCACCCAAGCAGAAAGCCAAACCAGGGGCCCGGCATCCGAGCAAGAGATGATGCTCCGAGCAGGTGCGTAGCCCCTTCAGTGGCTACGAGGCGCCCCTGGCAGTCCTTGCAGCCGGTTGCAGTCCCTGCTCTCGCTCTCCTCTCTGTCTTTGAGCCTCGAAGGTTGAGCGAGACACCTGGCTCCTGGACCTGTCTGGGCTCCTTGACTAAACCCTAAACCCTAAACCCAAAACCATATAAACCCTAAACCCTAAACCCTATAATCCTATAAACCCTACTATAATCCTATAAACCTTAAACCCGAAACCCTAAACCCTATACACCCTAAACCCGAAACCCTAAACCCAAAACCCTATAATCCCATAAACCCTAAACCCTACACCCTCTAAACCCTCTAAACCCTAAACGCTCGTGCCCTGCCTCGGCTTTGGCGCTCAGGTCCTGGAGACGCCTCGATGCCGTGTTCCCCGTAGGCGCTCGCCGGGGCATCCTCAGCGATCCAGCGTCCCAGAAACCCGACGAGCCTTTTAGGGTTTAGGGCTTCGGGGTTAGGGTTTAGGGGTTTAGGGTTGAGGGATTTTGTCCGTTTGCTGAAGACCTTTCGGATCGGAGAAGCTTGCAGACTTCGCAAAGGAAGTGAGAGAGTCAGGGAAGCCCCTTCCGCAAAGAGAAGTGCATCATATGTCGCTAACGCAAGCTTCGACCGAAGGGGAAGCCTTCATCTTCACGGGGTCACTGCGGAGTTACTTTGCGGGGTTCTGGGTTCCAGGCCGCAGCCGAGCATCGGCCGCCGTTGTCTCGGATCGTTTCCTTTGCATCAGCGGTGGCTACGAGCTGGCAACAGGCCCGGGTAGGGCCGGTAGGGTTTAGGGCCGTTTAGGGTTGAGGGCAGTTAAGGGGTTTAAGGTCGAAGAGCTTCAGGGATTTGGGGTCTAGCGTTCAGGCAGCTGCGAGAGCCGCAGACAGACCGTCATCAGCACCTCTGACTGAGGATACGGTTGACTACTAGACTACTAGATACTTCGCCTTTGTCTTTCTTTTGCTTCTTGGCCTTGCAATGCGAAGGCCTCGCCGCACCCATGGTCCAGCTGCCGGACCGCGATTGAGAAGCCTCGGAGGGAAGCTCTCCAAAACATCCTGCCTCACGGTGATCATGATTGCATGATGGCAAGCGCTGTCGCCTCCGTGTGATGATCATGACCATGATGACGATGATGACGATGATGACGAGGACAAGGATCTTGAGTCAGCTGATCAGGGTGAGGGTGTCAGCAATGATGCCAGCTAATCTGCGGGCGAATTGACGGCACTAGAGGCTGCAAATTTGCGCGGACCTCTGGATGCTGGATTTGCAGAATCCCGTGCGGCTGGCTTGTGATCGGTTTTTGACCCTGGAGTAGCTCGTTGCCTTGCATGCAACGCTGTGTTCTGCCAGGATGGCGGCTGGAGCAAGGCTTGCGACACTCGGCGTTCCGGGCGCCTGGCCGCGCAGCAGCACTTGAAGATCAGTCCGGTCCGGACGTCCAAGCATCGCAATGCAACAGGACGCGATGTCAACGGTCCTGCATGGTGGCAAGACGCTGCTGATCTTCGGGGGCCACGATGGCTCGCAGTTGAATGAGTTTGGAGACCCGACGGGAGGCGAGAAGTCTAAAACAGAAGCAGTGCCTTGGAATGCTCAGCATCCTGGACTTGGTGAGGCTATGCGCCGCCTTCGGACACCCTCGGCGTCCGCTTCCGTGCAGACGGCACTGTAGTCACGGCCAGATATGCAGGCGAGAGCGCTGGGAACCAGGCGCCGCATCTCACTTCTGCCTTGCTATGCTCGCTGATGAGTATAGTCGAGCTTCTCTCTCACACCTCGTCTCTCATGCTCTCACTCCCACTCTCACTCTACCCTCACCCTCACTGTCGTTTTCACCTCCACTCCTCTCCCTTCCCACTCTCACTCCCCATCTCTCGCCCTCTCCACTGCTCTCACTCCGTGGCACAGAAAGCCTGTAAGAGCTTCCACCCCCCTAGGCCCTGAACCCTAAATCCTAAACCTAAACCTTATCATCATCCCCGTTGTCTGCTCAGTCAAGCTTCTCTGCCCTGGTGGCGTCGTACAGCCCCGACCGCGTTTTCGCGCTTGGGGGTGCGGGCACCTTTCCTGAACTGGCAAAAGGAGGGCGTCTATTTTTTTAGATCCTATTTGTTGGGTGTAGTGTTTGTTCTGGCGTGGTGGGCGTAGGCAGGAAGGCAATATGTATCTATATATCATATAGCTATCCATCTATCCATCTAACTAGCTATCCATCTATATAGAAAGAACGAAAGAAAGAAGTAGCGACATAACTGAATAGACACAGACAGAAATAAATACTTTAAAGACATAAAGAAATAAAGAAAGAACGAGAGAACGAACAGAATAAAGAGCGAACGAAATGAATAAAGAACGAAATAAAGCAAGAAATAACGAGCGAACGACAGAAATGAAGACAGAACGAAAGAAGCACAGAAATAACGAACGAAATAACCAACGAAATAAATAACATAGAAAGCAGAAGGACAGTAAAGAAAATTACTAGAATCAAGCACAGAGAGAAGATGCATAAGATAGATATAACAAAATTCAATCATTGGTTGAAAAAGCAGACTCACCGGTGTCGTGTCGAGCTTCGTTTGTTCAGGGTCCGGGTTTGTTGACGATGGAGCAGATATTCGCTCACTTCTGCCGAGACGACAACGGCGATCGACAGACATGGAAGCTCTCCACTTTGCAGCTATGCTGGCAGGCGCAGCATAGTTGGGACTGTTAGGTGGCCATACCTTGCCATACCTCATCATGTTCTTGACGACTAAAGATGTCTGTGAAACATGGCTGAACCGTCACATGTCGAGGTAAACTCAGCTTTGCTGAACCCCAATAGATCTTGTGGAGCCTCCGTTTCTTTCCCTGATTGAGGCGGAGGAAGTGGAGCACTTGGATGGCTTGCAGACCATGGGGCGAGTGGACGCTGCATGGTAGGCTGGCAGCGGCTTGCTGGCTTGGCGTGCAGCACAGCAACATTGCTACACTGACAAAAGCGGCACTGTATGTCCGTATATGTGCATGTACCATTAATAGTGTGGTGGGGACTCATGCGGAACCGGGAAGGATACTGCTACTTCCATGACATGGGAGTGGATGCTAGGAGATGCAGCCTCTAAGCTAGAGCCCCTTTTGGAGGAGAGCCGATCACCTTGCGGCCTGCGGCGCGTTGCCAGCGGGCTTCGCTTGGGAGGAAAAAGGATCTGCAGTGGCGATGCCTCGAAGAGTCGGGCTTTGGTTTAGGGTTTAGGTTTTTTAAGGGTTTAGGGTTTATAGGGTTTATAGGGTCTATAGAGGGTTTATAGAGGGTTTATGGGGTTTGATGCGTTGAAATGGTTCCTTCTGTCGGTCGTGGCACAGGCAGACGACTCGGAGGTCGGTGAGCCAGCCGCAAAGCGATTGCGGACTGAGAGTGAGAGCGAAGGCCAGTAGAAGGAGCGAAGAAGGAACAAACAGAACACAAAATGGCAAGAACTGCAGAGATTGCGTTCGAGGGGAGCAGACTGTTTCACACTTCACGGAGGCCGTGACAGAAAAAAGCAAGGTGGGCGAAAGGGAGCTCCAGGCAGATGTTTCGGCTTCTTAGGCCTGAGGCCAGCCTTGGCAGGTCATGGGATGTTGTAGGCGGGAACTGATCCACTTCAGAAGGCTACATGCTGCGCTCATGCCATGCATGAGGGTGTCAAGTTCGCAATGGGCCCAGGCCTACATAAGGCTAAACTCAAAAGCTTTGATACCCTAACCGGCCTTAACCTAAACGGCCTATATGCGCCTTTGGATGATGCCTGGCTCGAACGAATCTGGAGCTGTGTGACCGTCACATCCCATACCGAACCGGATTGCCGCAGGCTCGGCAAGAGCATGCCAACAGCTATAGGTCTTGCTTGGTTCGGCAGGCTGCTTGTCTTGATCATAGCTCAATGGCTTCTTCCCTCGTAGAACTCGGCAGGCTGGCAGGCGGCATGTTCCACATGGTATCCGACGAACTTGAAGACAGGCACCGTTGTGTCACTCAAAGCTTGCATGAGCTGATGCGAGCTTGCCATGTGCTGCGTAGGCTTTGATGAAGAGCAGATAAGAGCCGAAATCAGTGGCGCGCCAGGACATGCCTCATACAGCAGCCCCTTCGACAAGCACCGACAGCTTCGATGCTGGGATTGCATCCTACTCGTGTGTCTTGAGTCCCGGGCTGTTTCTGTCTCGCAGTATCCATGCACACGTGCATGCATGCAGGGATGCCTATATGTCTGGCTTGTGTCGTAGATAGACAGACAGGTTTTCAGACAGATAATTTGATAGAGAGATGGAGAGATAGATAGATATCAGATAAACATAGAGATACATAAGGATGTGGATGGATAGATAGACAGAAAGATAGATAGATGGCTAGAGATAGATAGATAAATACATAGATAGAGGTAGATAGATGCGTATATAGACAGTGAGATTGAGAGACATAGGGACGGAGAGATAGATAGTGAGATGGAAAGCGATATACGTACAGTGCTAGAGAGATAGAGAGACACAGAGACAGATAAACAGATAGATAGGCAGGTAGATAGATAGATAGATGGATCGACAGATGATAGCTAAATAAGAAGATAGATAGATGGATAGATGCATGGATAGTTAGATTCATTTCTCAAACAGATAGATCGATGGATAGATAGATAGATGGATAGACAGATAGATCGATAGATAGATAGATAGATAAATAAAAATAGGTAGTTTTTGGCGAAGGGCGGACATAAAGAAGTGTCTGCGGTGGGGGA